AGTATTTACTGATAAAGAGAGATTCTTGATCTATTATTAATAATTTCAGAGCACTGTGATTATAAATGATGATATCTAAAAACAGGTCAGTCAATTCAGAGGCTTTAATCTTTTTATAAGTAGAGATATATCTGATTATCTTCATAAAGCAGTTAATAATAACTAAAATTGAGTCATATTCTTTGACTCTTATCAACTTCAGTAGATTAACTATGAAATTTATTAATAGATTCTATTATAAGCTCTTTGAAACAGGCAGTGATATCAACTCACTGTATTACTTATACTGTGAAATCTTTATCTTTTGATAAATATTATAAGTCTTAATATACTCTTTAATATCTGCTCAGAGCTTGTTTCAAATATATTTACATTTTAGAAGCTTCTCAGTCTTCTCTAACTCAAAGTGTTCTGTATGAGAATTATTATAATGAATTCTTAATAACTTCTGACACACTGCTCTGCTACAAGAGATGAAGACTGAATTATTCAGTAGTAGAAGTTTATATTCTTCTAGTTATCAGTGACTTGATTTCTTAGCAGTATTATCTCACTCAGAGTCTGTCTCTTTCAAGTTTAAACTGAATTCTTTCTTCTTTAACTTCTGAATTTAAGCTGCAGTAGAGATGTCTCTCTTCTGTAACTTATCAATGAATTTTAAAAGTAGTCAGATTGAAAGATTATAAATCATTTCATTCTTTATCAATTCAATGATTATAAGATATAATATAAGAAGCTTATAATCTTCAGTGTTAATTCTCTGCAGAGATCTGAGTTTTCTTTCATCTTCTATACTGAGTTATATAGCTGTCTTATCAGTGCTGTTTCTAAGCTTCAGAGAATCTCAACTCTCTACAGCTAGCTTCTTCTACAGTAATGACAGAGATTCTTTTATAGAATTCTTCTTCATATTAATGATATTATAATCAGGTTATTTAGACAGTGTATTAGTAAGATTAAGCTGATCTGAACAGTATCAGATATAGAAATTATACTCTGAAAGCAGCTCTGCTTATCTGACTTAACATTCTGTCAAGCTCTTTGTTATTAAGAAGTAACACAGATTTATATAATTAGTAAGAACTTACACTGAATACTTACTACTCTGAAGATAATATTACTAGATCTTAAAGAATTTGATAATTATTAACATCTTCTGATTATGAGTATTATATCTTCTCTGTGTGAGTGATAACTTCTTGAAGAAGAAGATCACTGATCTTTATTCATAGTATCTTATAGACTCTATGAAAAAGTCTTCTCTCACAGATAATTCATTATCTGTTTTCTCAGAGATAATTATTCTCTGATTCTTTTAATGTTAAAAGATCTCTGATATCAACTGTGAAAAGATTTCACAGATCTTATTTCTAAATATATCAGTTTCACACTGACTAAGTAAGTCAGAGTTAAAGTGATTCAGTATTATAACATCTGTAAAAGCTTGTTTTAATTTCATAAATATCTGTATAATATCTTAAGTGAGAATAAATAGTTTTATTTTTCTGTCTTTCACACTTCTCTTTAACAGATCTGTAAGAGAAACAGTAATCTGTAAATATATATAGATGAATCATCTATAGAAATTTATAAATTTTAAAAACATCTGCATTTCATGATATGTCTGCAGCATCAGTCAGTTTTCAATAACAGAGACTCAGCTTCTATTCATTGAAATGCTATTTATCTTAATAATATAATCTAAGAAATCAATCTTCTGCATGTAGAATGAGTATTTTTTAGTGTTTATATAGAGTTAATACTGTTTTAAGTAACTTAATACTTTTTAAACATGAGTATCATATTCTTTCTCTGTTTTTGAGAAGATTAGAATATTATTTAAGTATACTATACAGAAGATGTTAACAAGGCTCTGCAGTGTCTTATTTATATAGATTTGAAAGATGACTGAAGTATTACAAAGATTAAAAGATAAAACAAGATATTTAAAATTATCATACTTAGTATAAAAAGCTGTTTTTTAAATATTATCTTTATTAACTCTGATTCTATAATAGATATTCTGTATATTAATCTTTGAAAACATCTTTGCTTTAGATAATTGATTGATTATCTTATCAATTAACAGTAATAAATAGTAATTCTTAATTATCATCTTATTAAGACCTCTGTAATCTATATATAGATATAGTCTATCATTCTTCTTAAGTATAAAGAGTATAGATATCTCTGCTGAACTCTTTAATAAATATATTCAGTTCTTTGATTGTACTTCTTCAAGATATTTATGCAGAATATTCAATTTCTTTATAGATAAGTTATAGAGAGATCTATACAGTGCTGTTACACTGTCTTTAAGATGAATTTTATATTATATCTTAATATCAGAAAACTTTACTACTTTTCTTTCTGAAAAGACATTCTTAAAATCTGTAAAGAGATATTATATATATCTGTCTTTAATAACAGATACTGCTGCTAATCTTACAGTGAGAATAATAACTTCTTTATCTATCTCTAAGTCTCAGTTATCTACTATATAGTATATTGACTCAATCTTTTTCTCAAGATTCTTTTAATAAAATTCTTCAGATTTCTCTATCACTGTCTTTTTATTAATAAGATAATACTGTCACATCTGAGTAACTCAGTTAATAAGAGAATTGTTTTCTCTCAATTATAAGAGATCTAGAATAATGTTCTTATCTATAATATTAACTGTGTAAAGAAGCAGACTGCTCTTCTTAAAGATTTCTTCTAGTCTGTGATTACACACTTTGCTTAAATTATGTCAAATAGTGATATTTTATTTTATTAGTAAATTTCATATAATCTGATAAGTCTATCTTCTTTTAACTCTTTATTAAAGAAAAGAAATAGAATATGAAGTTAGTATTTACTCTGAAGTTAAGTAAATATCTCACTAGTATCTTCTTATTCAGAGTATATATTGTAATTGTAATATAGACTTAGAGATATAAGAATTATTAATTCTTTATTTCTTTCTCTTCTTTATCTTTCATAAATACATTTATTAGAAGAGAAGTTAACTTTAAGAAGATATCTTCTTAATTTCTTTTCTTCTTCAGCTTCTTATAATTACTAGTATAGTAATTATCAGCTCTGCAGTTAAAATAGAGATCTTTATCAAATCTTTTTTAATATTTCTTCACAGTGAGTGAAGAATCAGAATACTTGAAATTCTTCTTTACTTTCTTCACACTGAAGCTGTTATAACACTGTTTAGATTCTGTTATTAATTATTTAAAAGAGATCTTATTGATCTTTTTCTTAAAGAATTAATTATTCAAATAGATCTGAGAAGTCAGGTTGACAAGCTCAGTGTAATTAATAAGTGAACTCTGATATTATAATATTATTATTCACATCTTATAAGTCAGCTTTATAAGATAAAGCTATATTTTTAATTGATTCAAATTATCAGTTAATTTCTCTTAATATTCTTCAAATCTTATATTGAAATTGAAAGAATTCTTATTATCTTATTAATATAATAAGTTGAATCACTATACTGTTATAAAGCTGTAATTACAGTAATCTTCAATTTAGTTCAGTAGAAAGTTCTTGAATTCTTTCTAAGTTATAATAGTATTAATATACTCAAGCTCTCTCTTCTTAATAACTCAAGTAGTTGCAGAGATATCTTCAAGAAGATTGACAGTGTAGATTACTTATATCTCATGAGTATTATACTAACTCAGATTAAGATGAAATTTTTATTCAAGAGTACAGATAAAGCTGTGAAATTCAGATAAGATATTTCTCTTATATCTTAAAGAATCTCTGATCTTAATCTCTCTATCTTTATAATAGATGTAGATATATAGAGGTCACAGCAGTGATAGAACAGTTAAAGAGCTCATATTAAAATATACAGTGAGTTCAGAAATATCAGATTTCTGCTGAGATAGAGATGTACACACTTTAGAGAATGATATAGTATTTCTCTCAGAGAGTGAGATTGAATTGATCTCAGTATAAGTGTATGAAGTCATATCAATCTGTTAGAGCTTGACTGATTCAAACTTATAATCAGATACAGTGATTTGAATTGTAATATAATAGAATTAAAACAGTGACTAGTCAGTGATATTATATAAAGATAGTTATTTAAAAAGCTGTATAAGTAAGCTTAACTATCTTACTTGAATAGTGAGCTTATAGATCACAGAGTTATTGTAAGAATATCACAGATGTGATACTTAGTATACTAAGAAGATTGTATAAGATATACAGTAACTCTTATATATATTTCAGTAGAAGAAAAACAAATCACTGCTTCTTTAATAAGAAGCTAGTATCTAGCTATTCTATATAGATAATAAGTGAATACTCTTCTTCTATTTCATGAGTGAGAATAGTCAGAGTGATACCTCAGCAGCATCTTATTATCAAGAAAGAGTAATCTGCTGATCTTATATAGAAGCGGGGTTCTCATATCCATCAATTGAATCTTCCTATGATATATCCGAATGATGTCATAGGGTGGTTGGAAACCGGTTCGGATGGGATGGAATCATCCGCATGGAAGCGATGGGCCGTGTGGAACCGCAGCGGGGCCTTGGCGCTGCCGGGAGCGTGACAGTAATCTATCTACGCGAGTTACACTAAATGGATAGGTTGGGGTGGCACGTGACTAGGGTAGGTGTAGTAATCACCAACATTGTGCAAGGTCAGGGTCATGATTATGTAATGAGGTCAAGTGGCGCACTTAGCGAGGTCAAGTTTTCTGTATACACCGGAAGGGAAGAGCGGCAAACCTCTCATCTCAATTTATAATCATCTTCTTCCTTCATAAGCCACTCATCACACATCAAGCTAAGCGGAAACTCTATGGCATAACCGAGAGGCGTGCTCATATTTACCGTCTATTACCAACAATCCTACCCGGAGTTCTGGAACAAAACAAAGAAAAGAATGCATTATGTACGAAAAATACTGTGAAGAAATTTAGAATTTCTTATTTACGAGATGAGTAACTAATATTAATGTGGCTCGATCCGTACTCATGCTCCTGCAGCAGTCTATTCTCACTTCCCACTTCAGTTTTCTACTCTCTCATCAAACCATTTCTGAGCAAATTCACCCTTACATTATGCATTAGACCAGCCCGTGTCAGGATTACGACATGGCCTTGAGGCGAAATATCGATTTCATATTCCGGGACACGTCTGCATCTAAATAATGCGGGTCGGACTCCTTCGGGGTGTATTCATGCAGCTTTCCAGCTTTTCTTGCTGGAACGGGAATGCTCCGTGGTGCTGGAAGGGATTCGACAACGGACAAGAGCGGTATGGCCAAGACCGAAAAAGCAAGGGAAAAGGGAAAGAAAAGGGAAAGAAAAGGAAAAATATGTATCACCAATTGTGCGGCTATGGCTATGGTTATGAGAGAAATATTCTTCATGGCTCATTCACCCTATTGCTGACATTCCAACCATCAGATATATCAACATCGATTGATGCCCGGCTCACAGCGTAATGAAGCTAGAGAATGTGTTGGGTCCCAAATTCGCCAACCCGTCGCTCAGGTCCTAGATTATTTTCCACCTGATATGGATTTTATTCATTCAAGCGCCCTTACTCCGTACATACAGCCTTGTTTTCATAGCTTTCAGCCTTCCGCAGAACTCCCAACAACAAATCCCCACATTCTACGTACATATATTCCCAGCGACCAAGCAAGATATTCCAAGCGGAAGAAAGCATCTGCCTACCTGCCTCTCGCGTGCCTTGCTCTGCATGGTATTCATCACATCGATAATGATTTTATCTGATTGATCTCATTTCAGCATTCAATATCTGAGCTGGGAATAATATATATGCATCCCAAGATATACGCAAGTTAAATGCACCTGCAATAAATAGTGCATATGTATGAGTAAATTTTAAAGCTACCAAGAGATGCGCATACTATGCACAGTACAACACACGTCTCTCAAGGCAACCAACCAACTCTGGAAATGCAGTTCTCAAAGATCCTTGAGAATGCCTTTCTAAGCATTGCTCCATCACCTTCAAGGCCAGCTGCACCACAGCCAATGCACCCAGGTACTGTACAGGGGGAAAGGAAGCGGTACCCGCCTAAAAATTGAAATCCCGACGCTGTACATACATGCCATGCGACGTGTCGCTGGGAGGGAGAGAAATCCTCAATGAGATCATTGCATGTGTCTAGCCTCGACTTGCGTGCTGTCACCGCTTCGTAGGCTTCTTGCCCTTTCACGACCACAAAAGGTGCTAACACTGTTTGTGTACTGGGTAAAGCTCCAACCTGCACACCTTGGACAGGGCTCCAACAACAGGTATAAGTTGCTGGAAAGCTAAGGTATGGTGTTATCTCAAGCCATTGGTTGCTTGTAACCTGGTGTAGGGAATTTCTCATGTTTTCTTTACACCGCCTGAGTAATTGGTGGACAGTGTAGGCATATGCACCACCGCTCTACTGGTAGAGAGCCCGATACCCTGGGTATGTTGTCCTGAGTTCTATATCCTGACTTCACGCGGGGTGATGGATGGAAAAAAGGGGGTGCCTGACAAACATCTTACATAATCACCATATATGAACTCCGCAAAAACCTCCGATACAAAAAAGATTCCTGGAGAGAAGGTGCACAAAACAGAGAGCAGCCAATAGCAGAGTATACTCAATTGAGTATATATATATATCCGTCTCTTTATCTCCGCTGTTCCTTTCTGGTCAAAGAGCTGCCCTGCCCCCTCCCTGCCTTCCTGTCACCTCTGCCCAAACAGACCGATGTCTGGCCCGCCGCTCTTTCTCGCCTCAATCGGCAACCCCCCGCCCCGATGGCATAAAACCCTCCACTCAGCCGGCCACATCCTCCTCCGTGCGCTAGCTCAACATCTAGATGCTCCCTTGCAACCAATACCTCCCTACTCTCTAACCTCAAACCCACCCCCACGAGACCATCCGGGCCCATACACCTCCCGCACCCAGCTCCCCCGTACACGCACGCCACTGACGCTATGGCAGTCACCATCATTGATGAATGTATCCGGTCCAACGCTGATAAGGACGTATGAAAAGTGGCGTGCGGAACGGGGCGGTGGGATCGGTGGTGACGTCGGTCTCTCATTAAAGAGCAGCGCGACAACGACAAATATAATCCACGAAGACGGCCTAGGCCAAACCCAAAGCCAAAGCCAAAGTGAAACAAAACGCACAGCAAAAGACACCAACAAACCCATCCCGCTAAACCTCATCCTCCTCCACGACGACCTAGAACTTTCCCCGGGGAAACTCTCTGTGCGCCGCGGCGGCGCATCCCTCTCCGCGCGCGGCCACAATGGTATCAAAAGCGTAGTGAGTAGCCTTGTCAAGGCTGGTATGCTGGCGCCGGCGCGCGGGGCGGCCAAGAAGATGAAAGGAGGCGGCGGTAGTGCTGTGAGCAGTGCGGGAGCACTTGACCCAACCCGCTTCCAGCTTACGCGCATCGGGGTAGGCATTGGGCGGCCGGCGAGCCGTGAGCCGGAGGAGGTGGCGGAGTATGTGCTGGGCCGAATGCCGGATCGGCAGGTAGAGGTGACGGAAGGGCTAGTAGAGGAGTTGGTGGGGATATTAGAGAGGGAGGTTGGGATGATGACGGGGGAGTGACGGTCTAATGTAGATGCTAGCTGGTGTGGAGGTTGGGTTGCATGCATGGTATGTACTGTACGATATTGATGGGTGTGTATGTTTGTATAATTGGCTACTAGATTTCCTTTTCAGATTGCATTCGGAGGATTGATTGCTTTTGTTTTTTTTTTTTTTTTTTTTTTTTTTTTTTTTTTTTTTTTTTTTGCGGGATTGTATACTTTTGTTTTGTGCAGATACCTCTTCTTCTTCTAGAACTGTACTTTCTGTTTAGCCAGGGCTGTTTACTCGTTAAAGGCGTCAAATGGATAAAATCGGGAACATGCAGAAAAGACTATCATCCATATATTTTGAATACTGACTGGGCAGATTGCTGTATACATATCCCCCCATATATATATATGGAAGAAGACACCCAATCCCCTATTTAACCGTGGACGCATTTGAAAATCCTCCTATTAACCAATTCCCCGGCTCATCACCGCACAAAAAGCAGATAAATAGGAAAGTGGAGGGAAATACGGGACTAGAACATCTGAAGCTAACAACCTAAGTTACCGCAAGTCCGTCGTGGGAGAACTACATCCGACAGCGGGGAAAACCACAAACTAATCTACTAGCAGTAAGTTGTAAGATGAATATATATGTATATATCTGAAAGTATATGTGAAGCGAGAGCGAGGAAGGAGGTATCTAAGAGGATAGAGAAGCAAACGAGGGACGGAAAACATATACGTAAGGAGAAAATGAAATCAGAAATATCTCCGTTTATTATACCAAACCTTCCGTTTTCGACCATGAGGGGAAAAAAAAAAAAGGCCGGGAAAGTGATAAAGAAGAGAGAAAACTTGGATTTCCCAGCAAGCCAAAAATCGGCGCTAGCACGTAATACAACACGACACAGCACGACACGACTGTATGCTACACGATAAAAACCATGTTCATTTGTTCCCAAACTGTGCGCTCTCTCTTCTAACCCTCCCAAGCAGCGACCGTTGAGTCGTGGATGTCGTCACTGTTTCGGCAGTAGCGTTAGTCATGTTTGTTACGGCGTCAGCGGCACCGAGCGCCTTATGGGGCGGTGGCTGGGTGCTAGATGTCGGTGCCAGGGTTGCTGCTGCTGCGGCTTGCGTAACTTGCTGTCCTGAGCCTTCGGTCGACTGTTCTAACTGGACGGTGGTGGTGGTGGTAGACGGGGCCTTCTGATCCTCTGCTGGGCTGGTCGACGCCATGCCTACAGTAGCTTGCCGAAGCAGCTCGCCCAAGCTCGATTCTTTCCCCTCGACCCTTCGGGTGAGATATACCTTCGGCGCCGGCTTCTGGCGCGCAAGGCTTTGTTTCCGAATTCGCTCAACCTCCTCCATATACGCCGTTTCATAGATGTCGATACCCGAGGCGCCTGGTGATTCGCTCACGATTGGCACCAGACCCATTTCATCGATCGGGAAGCCATGGCCGTCAAGGCCACTAGTTACTTCAGAGTTACCCATGGGTTCCGAGGTTGCTGCACGGCTGAAATAGGTTAATGATGTCTTCTCGTCGTCCACTGTCAGGACACCCGTAAAAGTGGATGGGCCGATGAAAAGGAAGGAATGGTCTTCTTCTAGCGGATCGCGAGCATGGCCTCGTGTACCTTCTAAAAAACTTTGTTTGCTCGGGGTGCTGGTGCGGGAGGTTTGAAGAGGTGGAGACGGGGACTTGGATATTGAAGCAGCACTGTATCGGCATGATTCCCCGTGCGTGCATCCAAGACGCGAGGCGCTGCCACTTTTATGCACGGCGGGAGGCACGTAAATCCCCTTTTCGATGACTCGTCGCTTGGAGTCTGTGGAGCCGGACTTTGAATGGATACTCTTAGCACTAGACGGAGCATTTTGGTCTGCTGTATTTGCCGAAGAAACTTCGACGTAAGACGCTTCCATGGATAAAGGCGGTTGAACGAAATGGGCTTCGACATCTTGACCCAGAATACTTTGCATTGGGGCGTTTTCCGGCTCGATCAGCCTTTTGAACTTTTGCACCGCTCTGACCTAGAGGGAAGTGTTAGATCAAGTACATGGTATTTCATTCTAGAGCAACATACCACTGTAAGCACATTGCCTATTTTCTTGGTAATTGCAGTATTCAATTCTTCTTCTGTAGGTTCCCCAATGGGGTTGGCGGTGTTTTCCTCTGTAGATAGGAGTGGGTCGGTGCCACCTTTTGTGACCCAGGGATGGTTCTGGTTCCAATCAGCAAGGCGCTTACAGCGAGAATACGGAAGAAGAACTGGCACACTCACTCTGAGCTCAGGCATCTTGATCCGTTTTGCAGGATCTTTCTCTAGAATATTTGTCATCAAAGCTATGAAATCCTCATCTGTCTCATTTTCATATTTAACCTCATCATTCCTGATCGACTCGTAGAGCTCAAAGATGCTCTCTTTTTCGAATGGTATTCGCCCATAGCGGAGGCAGTACAGAGTCACACCCATCGACCAGATATCGGCTGCTGTCCCTGATATATCCCCATGCTTCGCAACACACAGCTCTGGGGGTAGAAAAGCAGGTGACCCTGCCGACTTCGCGGTATACATATCAGAGTCTTTCTGAAACATTTCCGATACACCGAAATCGACAACTTTGAGCACGTCATCGTTAGTCAGGAGGCAGTTGTCCGGCTTAATGTCTCGGTGAACGATATTCTGCGCATGTAGATACTCCACCCCAAGGATCAAGTCGCGAAACCAACAACGACAGCTTTCGTTTGGATATGGGTCTGAACATTCTCCCAGGCCCACCTTCATGATGACTCCCTTTTTACACATTTCCATGACCATATATAATGAGTCTTCTGTAGGGTCATCGAGAACTTCGTATAGAGCCACGAGGTTAGGGTGATTTAGCTTTTTCATGATTGCTATTTCCTCCTTAATAAGATACAGGGAGTTACTGCCCTCCTCGTCTTCGTGGCCGGACGGGTGGCGGTGGAGGGGAGAATTCAAACCCATACCAGCGGGGATTATGCCAGGGCGTCTCACCCCCCGCGGATTGCGCAAGACATGGGATTGAGCTCGTTTTCGCAATCGTGATTTCGAAAATTCTTTAACAGCCTTTAGAGTCGCTTTAGTTCCCATTTTCAATAAATCAAGATAAAAACGAAAGAAAGCGCTCACGTATTCCTGGCCATATTGATCAACTGCTAGATGGACAGCCCCGAACGAGCCTCTCCCAATCTCTTGTTTTATGAGATACTGGTTGATACGATGTTCCGCGGTGCCATCATCCTGGCTATTGGTGTATTCGGAACGAGCATTAAGAGTTTCCTTGTCCAATTGGTTCGCTGTCAGAACAAGAACAGCTGTATCAAAGTCAAGGGGGAGCAATAGAGCTAGGGTGGCGCACTTTTACTCGACGAGGAGCAGTACGACTTCTCGTCTGATGCCTCAGTGGGCTGTCATGAGAGGCTGTCGTAGATCTAGGGTTTAATCAAAAGATGATGTTAGTACATACTCCATTCTAGGAAAGATAAAGAACTTAAGTTGAGCTCAAATATCAATGGGAAGTGAGCATCACCGGTCGTAGCCACTGAAAACTGCCATAGCTAGACTGGAGCTAGCTGCTATATATAACACGAGAAGAATAGCATAGGGAGGTCAAGCCGCTCTCTGCTTCAAGGATTACAAAATAAATAGGTATAATATATAGAAGTAGCAAAGGAACCATACCGGGTGGTGCATGTTTCAGCAACGGCTGTGGAGCAGTCGATTGTGATCTTTCCTGCCACCGTCCTTTGGTGCTCTAAAGAAGACGAGTCTTGGGCCATTTAACAGGGCCGCTGGGGAGGCGGGCAGCGGGTAGGGTTGTGCTGCGGGTGGGAATCGATTGGATATTTAAAATATTACCGATTTTTCTATGTCTGTATATAGACCTCTCTCTCACTCTCTGTGTGTGAGAGTGAGATGACAGCAGCTTCTGTATTTTTATCTATTTATTTGATTCTCGGCGACTGTGGCGAGGGCAACAAACCCAAGCGTAGTCCAACAGGGCTGAATGTGGGGAGGTCCAAATAGTCCCGATAATTGGCTCCTTTTGCTACGGAATTAAGGACTGGAGACAAAGATGGAGGGGCCGAAATGGGAGATTAGCAAGCCGCGCCTTATTGAAGCGAGAGGCAACGGGCTTTTAAACAGAAGAGAAGAGAGGCAATCTGCCTGGTATGGAGGGGTTGTTCAGTCGAGCATTGGGGACTAGGAGCTGGACTAATAGCAGCTCGGGGATGCTGCAGCGGGCGCTGGGGGCGGGATCGTCGACTTGATTGCGACTTGGAAGCATCGAGACCGGATACGAGCCCTAGGGGAAAAAAAAAAGAACAATTCAGCAGCTATCGGTGACCCATTCTGGAATAACAGCAGCAGTTACAGCAGCAGAGCTCCATAAGTATCGATTGACCGATATGTTGACTGACATCTGTGAATTATTGATGCCGGGGAAGTCGAAGAAGAGCCGCATCTTGTTGAGCCGATGCTAAGCAAGTAATACTCTGTGGCAATAAGCGACCCCTTCTGCGCGACGGACGGATGGACTAGCAGTTTTAGTAGCGACGCCGCGGGGAGTGTTAGTTCCACGGAATATTGAAATAGTGCCCCTGTCCACTATCCTCACCTCCTCTCCGGCGCTCGATATAGCTGGGAACATGTCCACGATTATTCCCTAGACCATCACCAAAGCGCATGTTAATCTCCTGCATTCCTCGATCCGCATAGCGCACCCCCTCCTATCTTCTATCGGTCTTCTACCGTATACCAGCCACTTGACACATCCATCACGAATCATGGCCGTGTACTCCTTCTACATCTTCGACCGGCACGGTTCGTCATATATGCCCTTATCGTTTACTCTACTCAATAGCTTGCCAGAACTAACATCTCAATCGCTCTCTCCCAATGCAGCGGAATGCATCTATAAGCGCCGCTGGCTCCCTCGGCCCACCTCCACGACTTCAAAATCCCGACCAGCCTCAGAATCCACCACCCTTAGCAACGGCCTACCCACATCCATACCCCTCTCCCGTCAAAGCCTGACCGCCGAAGATGATGCAAAACTGATATTTGGCACCGTGTTCTCCCTGCGGAATATGGTGCGCAAACTGGGTGGTGACGATGACAAGTATGCAACAAATGACACCTGCGAATTCGGGAAAATCGATCCCCCATACTGATCATATACGTCTCCGCAGCTTCATTTGCTACCGAACAAGCCAGTACAAGCTACACTACTACGAAACACCCACAAACATTAAGTTTATCATGCTTACAGACGTCAAGTCTGGTAGCATGCGGCTGGCGTTGCAGCAGATATATGTCAATTTATATGTGGAATATGGTCCGTTCAGTCGTGATATCATATCTCTTTCGCCTCATAACATCATATATACTAAGATACAATATGCTTACTTGTTTCTCCAGTTGTTAAAAACCCCTTATCCCCCGTCGAACACCCGGGGGGATTAGGCGTGAATAACGAGCTATTCGAGGAGTCCCTACAACAGTTCGTGGTATGTTCACTTCATTTGTTCACCTCATTTGTCTATTTTATTTGTTTATTTCCTTGTTTTTCGCAACCTTCTAACGCTGTGTAATCCTTTAGACTCAGGTATTAGCATAAATCGCCTAAAATCCCCGGGAACGTCCCTACATAGTGGCGGAGTATATATATATACATGTGACCTATTATATTCACTTCCTAATGTGGATATTTACCTACCAGCTTCAGCCTCGGCAACTTAATTCGCCTGACGAGCTTCCCATGCGTTCTTGGGTGAAAGGCCATATGTTATTGCCTGGTAAAACCATCTGCATATTTTCTCAAGCAGGCAAATGATGCTTTTCGAGCCCTGACACATTTCCTGCAACCTGCCGTGCGGATGGACTTTGTGCGCTGGCATCAGCACACGAGACTTGGCCGAATCCCGAATTTTACAGTACCATTAACAAGGGCCGGCCACCCATCGCCAAACCATGCATTTACCTCCCCAGCCTGCGAGTTTTGGGCGTGGCCATTCACAGCTGCTCCAACCAATATAAGGTCGCCATGTATACGAGAACACAGTCCCGTATCCGCAATTCTCGTCAACCCTATCGCTAACGTGGTGGGGTACCAGCGAGGCATGGTGGGAGTAGTCCTAATACTCTCCTTTTCGTAAATGTTCCAGACAACCCGACTCGATTGCTTAACCTCGGGCTACAATTACATTTACCATCGAACTGGTTGTTTAATTTATTATCCTATTTTCTTAACTCACGTTGACTCACCAAGGCAGCTTCTAAGGCTCTTTGCAACGTTTGCTCTGGTTTCTTTTCCTTTATCTTTCCTTTCTCTTTCTTTAATCGCATTTTTGGCGTATATTTAGACTCTAGATAATGAATGCGTTACCAGCTTCTTATCCTCTACCACAACAACAAATATCGTAATCCCATTCTGAACAACTAACATATCACGATATACAATCTTAGAGAACAGCGAGAGAGAAGCAGAGGTTGAATAATTTCACTACATCGATGACCGGACGACTGGAGGTGACCAGCACTCCCGGCATCCCTTTCCCCTTCTCATTTTCCTTTCCCTCCGCATCCATCGTACACTCCACGTCTAGATATGCGGCTGCGCCACTTTACTCACTCTATATAGCCTCAAAATCATCCACACTCTCAAGGAGCTCCGCATCGCTGGCTTCCCACGGATACTGCCGTTCCAGCTCCCTAATCAGCTGCACATGCTCCTCACTCCTCGGCTCGATGTGGAAATCAAACTTGGTTGGATATGTCAAGATGCCCGGCTTCGGCTTGACATCCACCTCGATTTCCCTCCCATCTTCACCCACCGCGGGCCGGATATTGAAAGCAGCCAGCGACTGCGCGATGGTGAGGTAGAGGCTCGAGTCCGCGAAGAAGCGCCCAGGACATATCCTGCGGCCATAGCCGAAGGCGTCTGCCGTGGGATCGGGCTCGTTGCGCGGCGCGAGGAAACGGTCTGGATCGAATGATTCTGGATCGGCGTATACGTCTGGGTCGTGCAGGAACCACCAGACGGCCGGGAGGAGGAAGGCGCCCTTGGGGATATGCAGGCCGTTGTACTCGATATCCTCAGTGGCTGTGTGGGGGAAGCCCATAGGCGCGATAGGCCACCATCTCACGGCCTCTTTGACCAAGGCGTCAATGTATGGTAGCTGGTCACGGTCATCGAAGTTTGGCAGGCGGGTCGTGCCGACGACGCGATCGAGCTCCTCTTGCGCTTTGCGTTGTACGTGTGGGAATTTGATCATGGCTAGTGTGAAGATGGTGAGAGTAATTATCGTAGTATCTGCGGCAGCTCCATATAGACTAGCTGCGGTCCAAATGATCGCCTGCTCGTCTTCTTGTTCCAGCTTGGCGTTCTGATCATCTCCCCTGAGTTGTTGGACAAGCTTTGATACGTATGATAGCTGGTGGGCAGGGTCCGAGGCCATTTGGCGCTGGACAAATCGGTACGGAATGTATGCGCTCGCCTGGATGGACTTTCTCCACCTACGCGCTGTCTTCTTGAAAGTGGCACCAGGAAAATTCTCCGGAAGATGCCGGAGAGCTGGGATAATATCAACCGCCCAAGCCATGGGCACAGCCGCGAGGGAGAACTCCATCATCATTTTGTCAATCAAGTTAACCAAGGGATCAGGCTTATGCGGCTCGATGGTGTAGCCGTATGCCATTTTCAAGACAGTCGCTCCAGCGGAACTGCCCCTGGTTTTAGTATACAATACATCCAATGCCGCTGCACCCATCTCAAAGGCAGAAAAAAGAAAAAAAACCTATTGAGAACTCACGTCTTAAAATGCTCCAACCATTTGCCCGGCTCGTTCAGCGCCCGCACAAGCTGTCGATTTATCTCAGTTTCCTGGACACTGCGGAACTGCGCCGCAGACACCTTAGTCCCCAGCTCCCGGTGCAGGTACTTGCGGCAGCGGCGGAAGGTAGGCGTATAACTCTGGCAGAGGACGATGGACTCGTAGCCGCACAGTTTGTTCGCCATGACCATCGTGGGCCGTCCAGAGGTCTTGCTCGACGTCTGTTCCAGCAGCTCGTGCGTCGCCTGCTTGTCATGGATGATGACGAGCGTCATGCCCAGCACCGTCACGGAGCTGATGCCACCGTACAGGTCCTTGTGCTTGATCCAATGCTGGTATTCAGGCGTGCCATCGGGTGGGAAATCTTTCAGGTTTCCTAAAATTGGATGAGGTTTGGGGCCTGGAGGGAGTTTGCGCTGCTTCTTCCCTTGGGTCGACTGGTGATATACAAAGTAGCAGATAAGGGGGGCAAGTCCCCATACGATCAAGAACATAATCGCCATGCTGTCACATCACCCGTCAGATTCCTGTCAGGTTCGTCGAGGAGGTAGAGCGGGCAATGTGCGCTGAGCGCGTGTGTCAGCCCGCGGCGCGGCCATCGGGGATGCCTCAAACCTTCGACAGGGGTTGTATTACACAAGTCTACCGGAGCTTTAGTGCGGGGTTAGCATTCTCTCTCTTGATAATCTCGTGTCTAGCTAAAGTGTTGTTACTTCTGTCATTCTCCACATGTGGGCAGAGGATTCCTGAGGCCTCTGTACAAACAGAGCAACGACCTGTAAATTAAAAACAAAATCAATCTTGAAAAGTCCTCCGACAATACCGTTAACAAGGAGAGTAGTAGAACAAAATTGAAGTAAAAAAACCATAAAAAAACAACCCAGCCCAGGCTAAAGGTGAAAAGCGAAGGAAAATGTGGTATAGATCATCGGGGAACTGTAACTACTGCCTGCCTCCATCTGATGAACTGAGCAGAGTGTATCTCTCGGGGGTGTCAAATAAAACTGAGCACCAAAACGTACTAATCAATCAAACCTCAAAATTCCATTCAAAAGAGAAATAGAAAAGCAAAATAAAATAAAATAAATAATAAATAAAACAAATAAATTAGTTTCCCTCCTCCAAACACCCCTCCCTCCGCACCAGCCAAACATTCAATCCTCTCCTCCCCACCACCCGCTTCAGCGTCGGCCACACTCCATCGTCGCCAAAGTCCATATCATCCAGATTCAAATGGCGCGCGTATGACCAGAGTAGGTGCAGTTGCAGGGAAGGGTGCCCTGTTTCCCCGTCCTTTGCCTCATCCTCATCTGACTTGTCTGCATGTGCACCTGCACCTGCCGCGGATGGAGAATCGCTGTTCACGACGACATAATTGTCCAGAAACGTATTCGAGTTCGGCGCGACGAGGAGAGTTGGGTTGTCGTGTTGGATTGTGACTTCATTGTTCATCGTCTTATTTTTATTATTATTGGTATCCAGTTGTTGGCGTCTATGCTTGGCAGCAGGCGTTCCACTCTTGTGTTCGCATTTCGGGACCGATTCTTCGAGTCTCTCCATCATCTCCGGACCTGGAATACCAATCAGGTCCACCGTGGAGATGCTCGAGAAAGTAAAATTCTGAACACTGGTGGTGCTCAGGTCGCCTAGCATCCACGTTGGTGGGGAATAGGTTTTCCACCAGAAAACGGTTACGGTGCCGCTGGGCATTGACATTGGCTCGTCATCTGTTTTTGACCACATCGCCCTTGACCCGGGGGAGGAAGAGATAGGAGCGGTTGAGTTGGCGAGGAGGGCGGGGAGGTGGAGTTGTGTTGGTATCACACCTCCCTGGTGATAGACACCCATGAGAATGCCTAGCGCGGCGTTGAAGAGGATCCAAGCTGCTAGGAAGAAACGGGAGCGTGGGGGGCGGAAACATGTTAGGAGGAGGGGTACGCAGGGGATTAGGAAGCGGGGTTCTTGGTGGGGGAAAATTGAGAGGAGGGCTGTTGCGGAAAGGGCTGAGATGGCGCGGAGGTTGCGGAAGGAGAAGTAAGAGCGGGCATTTGGGAATGTGAAGGAGTATAGCAAGAGGACGTAGATGGGGCCAAGGAGTTGGGGTAGGTTGACGAGGAAGTGATTGTAACGCGGATGGAGGCCATGATTGGCGAGGTTTGAGGTGTCGGAGTTGTAGAACAGGTTATTGAGGGGGGTAATTATCGGATTGCGGAAGACGTCGGAGAGGGATGTTGGGGAGGCACTGTAGAAGTCTGTGTCCGCGAAGATGGCAATAAAACAGGATATGATGCCGAAAATAATTATTGTTAGAAGAGAGAGAGGTCTGTACAAGTAAAGTTAGGGCACTTGGGTCGAAATTGGTATGTTTAAAAAGTGTACATACTTATGAAGGAAATGAGGGACCAATCGGAGGCCGGGTATCAAGATAAATGCTGGAAAAGTGATTCTATTAAAAACTCCTGCGACGAGCAGGAAGGATAAGACAACGGATGCGAAAATAGAGGAATCTTGCTATTGGAGAAATGCGTCAGCAGGAGTTATGTCTACTTGTGTGAATGAATTGGGAATATCTATATATACGAGTGTGTACCTTGTTTTCGAGAATGCGTTGCATCAGAACCAAGGTCCACGCGACGAGTAAAGTCTCCAACGAGTTCGAGAAGGTATGTGTCTGGAACGTCCAGGTAACATAGGAGGATGCCACCAGGACGACTGTCTGGCGGCGGAGGCGTGGAGACGACGACACCAGTTCATGGATTGCCCAGTCCTCCATGACAAAGCTCAGAACAAACATGCTCCCACGAAGCACGTAGTATACCAGCACTGGCGGAGCACTCCCGGTCCCATCCTCCGTCCATAGCCACTTCAGGAGCGTCATGGGTACGCCATAGAGAAGCCATAGTGGGAAGACGCTTCGGATAGGATGGTCGGAGGTGAATTCCCAGGTTTGTTTGGACGGATAGTTGAAGATTTGGCCTGGAAGGGTTCAATTATTAGCCGTACATTGTAAGCTTTGTTTTGATATTGTACGTGTACATAAAGTTCAGTCAGAAGGCGCGGGGACGAATCAGGTATCGGAGATGACAGCGGAGACAGTTTTGCACGTTCCCAGCCAGCATAGTTGCCAATCACACGAAGCTACCTGAAGCAAACATGCCTTGCACCAAACCGGAGACATATCAGGAAGATTGAGCAGGGAGGTTCTTACCGGCGAAAATCTCGGGGCCCTGGAAGTTCTCGTCTGGGTGTAGATAGCTGGGCGATAGGGCAAAGTAGACGCGAACCACGAGGAGGAGCAGGTACGTTCGTCTCCACATGGCGCAGGATAAATCAGGACATTGGGTTGCGCGACCATGGGAAATGACAGAGCATTGTATGGGCCTGGGGATGGGCGTACTTGGGTCGGTGCAGAGTTGATGTTGGTGATGTGTTGTTGTGAAGAGTTATGTTGGGTGGGATGGAAAAAAAAAAAAAAAAAGATGCTGATAGTCAGTCAGCAGCAAGTGTTATTTAGTGGCTTGCATTACAGATTGATGATCACAAGACATCTGCCGGGAACTACAGCGTACAGAGTACATTTCAACTCAACGAGTGTTAAGCTGAGGGATGTTTGAATTACTCATTACTTTTTTAACCCATGCAGGTTTAACCACTTGTTGCTTAAGTTTGACTGTCTGGATTGGATCTAGATGAGCATCAAATTGGAATAGCGCCAGAACTAGAGACCAACACCCAACAGGTATAACCATTAGGGGGGGTAACCCAGGGGCCACTTAACTAAACCGTTTAACTAACAATAGGGGGCTCAGGCTTGGGTTCTAGAGTGTGTGGGGGTGGGTATATTTAGTGCTGTTGGGTGTCAACAGGAAACCTTCTCAGCGGAGGATTCGTTGTTGCTAGCAAATGTTTGCTCTTTAGAAATGATGATGCACTAGAGCTTCAAAGGCCAAAGAGCCCAGCACAAAGAAAGTGCCTTGGGTGAAGTCAGTAAGATTCCAGATATCAAAGTTAATGATTTTGCTTTATTCAACTCCATCCAACAACGGACTTCACAGTTCGTGCTGTAATAACCTGGCAAGGATGCCCTATACGGCGCTACGTGACCCACCACACCTTCAACTACATGCTTCCATTAAAAACCTAGGGGTTGGTTCTGTGCGTCTCCTATGAGAGTGAACAATGATAAGGGCTTGACAGAATGGCTAGCAAATGACTAGAATTCATGTTCAAAGATCAACAAAAGTTATCATAGATGATAGGAGGCCATCAGAAGCCCTTCATAGAACACACTATCTATATTCATCTCAATCTCCTCATACAAATCAAATAAGCTCTACCCTCAACTACAGCTGAACAATTCACTTTATCCCTATATGAATAAGAATCCAACCTATTCTTCAAGAGATAATCAACTAAGACTGCCCATCAAAGCCATGCCAGAACCAAGAGCCGGAGCTGAAGCCACAGCCAATGCTAGAGCCAGAGCTAGTGTCAGAGCCAGGACTATGAGATGGGAAAGGAACAGAAGATTTCTGTGTTTTTAGGTTATAATAGCAGGATATTGTGGAGAAATTCCAGGAAGGAAAGGAGCAAGAATAGAGGTAATGGAAGCTAGGAGCTAGAGGGTCAGAGGATGAGTCAATGGCATAAATAGTAGGTGCTTGAGTGGTGCTTGTAGCCGGGGGGGTGTCGGCACTGGCAGGATACTCTACGCAGTATAGGAGCCCCATGTCGGAATCTTAGCAGACGCAGAAGTTATAGGCAGGACTGAGATTTCTCCACCTGTTGAATTAGAAGATTTGGAAAGAGAACATTGAATCGTACACTCAAAGGCCTTATATATAGGCTTAGAACTACAATTGAAACCTTGGAACCAGATAATGCTGCTGCACTATGGGAAAATATTGAAATCGAATATGCTATTTCATTTGCAGAAGAATGCATGAATATCTGAATATCATGAAAGAATTCACTAACATAATTCACAAGTGAGTGAGTCACTCAAGCAAGTGAGTCACTTTAATACACATATAAAATGAGATAAATTACAATATAAAATCTCAACAACTGAAGATGATAAGAATTGTAATAGTATCAAATACTGTGGCGGGCTGCGCCCGATCAATCATATAGACTATTCTGTTACACTCCACAGATTCCAACCGCTCCATTCTCGAATGCGTACGCTCCGATTCTCAGCCATTCTCAATTGCCAATCCTCGGCCGCCACGAACGCGTATAGATTCTTCCACCCTGAAGCCCCACTGCATACATCACCACATACACATATAAATATTCACTTTGATCACTGATTCTTGCACTTTCTCTTTCTTTTTCTTCTCTAACATTTTTCTCTTTGTTATATAAGATCTATTAATATCATACTGATCTATTCAGTGTAGATCTCTTATACTAGAAAAATATTCATCATCTTCTTATTAGAAATGATTATTCATATATCATCTTCTTATTAGAAATGATTATTCATGTATTATCTTCTTAT